TTTTGCATTTGAACTCTTCATATATTATATATTATATTTATACATAGACAGACAGACAGAAACTGTAGATAGATAGATAGATAGATAGATAGATAGATAGATAGCATAGATAGATAGATAGATAGATAGATAGATAGATAGATAGATAGATAGATAGATAGATAGATAGATAGATAGATAGATAGATAGATAGATAGATAGATAGATAGATAGATAGATAGATAGATAGATAGATAGATAGATGGATAAGTGGATGGATGGATGGATGGATGGATGGATGGACGGATGGATGAGTGGGTGGATGAGTGAATGAGTGGATAGGTGGATGGATGGATGGATGGATGGATGGTTGGATGGATGGATGGATAACTGGATGGATGAGTGAATGGCTGCGTGAGTGGGTGGATGAATGGATGTATAGATGGATAGATGGATGGATGGATGAGTGGATGGATGGATGGATGGATGAGTGGATGGATGGATGCCCTTTTTTATCCAATAAAATGCCTTGTACAATATATACGAATACAGTGATGTGTCCATTTGAATGAATTTGCATTTGACATTGAACAGGCATGAATAATACACACACTTCAGCCCTCTTCAGCTGAGCGTTGTGCAGTCAGAATGTGTTGATTTCGATGACTGGATTAGACTAAAGCCCCCAGCGTCTCTGTGCATATTCCACCCCTCTCCAGTGTCACATCACAGGGATTACACCGCTCAGATTCCTCCTCCAGTCTCTGGCAGATCCTTCCCCCCGAGAACACTGGCTGTGGGCAGAGAGGCCTTTACATGGAAAAAGAAAATGAAAGAAGTAGGCTTTGTGACAGAACATGATTTAATGAATCTAGCCAGGTGATGGACTCAAGACATACTGCAATGACTGCCATAGCATTTAAGAAGAAATAACATGACAGAGAATCCAGAAGGCTATATATATATATATATATATATATAATCAAAGTTTGTATGGAAGCTTGTTATAAATATAAACTGAAAAATACTCAAAGTTTTATATGAATGAAAGGTGATTGTGACTTTTTTTATCTTACAATTCTGACCTTTTTTCTTAGAATGGCCTGATATAAACTCACAATTCTGGGAAATAAAGTCTCAGACGTATTTGTTTCCTCAGAATGACATGTTCTCAGTGTTTTGGATGTATCTTAATGGTCCACTGCAGAGTGTAGTACATATCTAGTGGAGTCAGGCTGGCTTTCAGCTGATGGACAGGAGGGTGTCCGGTTCCTGACACCACATCTCATCCCTCAGGCCCCCGAACGATCATTTGCTAACATGTGTGTGTCTGTGTCTGCCATCATAGCATCTGCCTTCATACCAGTCCTGCATTTCAACCCATAGTCCCAGAGCTCTGTCTGGTGCCTGAGAGGAATAGCTGGGAAAACAATGAGTATTCTTTTGACATTCCACAGATTATCCACACCATGCACATCTTCAGTTATGAATGTTTAAGATTTTAAAATGAAAGATTTTTTTTAATTTAAAACCAAGTACAAGATTTGTTATTGTTCGGGTGTTGAATAATTCATCCAAGATTCTTGTATGAATTGAGTGTCCTGGTAAAAGACTTTTTATTAATTATTCAACAAATTTTTTTTTTTAAATATGTTTATGTAATAAGGTTAAGGTATTACATGCTTTTATGTCAGTCTTTTCAGATTTCAGCTTGATTTTAAAATCAACCATGGCCATTGGCAGAACATAAAAGAGGGATGTTATTATTTATTTATTTTTTTTATCGGTGAAGCAGAGCCATCCATAGATCACAACTGTACTTTTGACCCCATATTTTGACATATTTATAACTAAATCCAAGGTGCCTTTAACAGTACAATATGGATCTTGAAGCTACGTTGGCGGTTTGCCAATGAACAACCGCAGAATGACTTTTTCTTTTTTTCTTTTTCACCCTATATGTTATTTAGTTATAATTCCAGATTATATGAAATACAGTGATGGCTCCTCCACATTTGACACTGAGAGACGCAGAATTGATTTACAAATGACTGACACAAATATTTCCCTGAGGGAATCTATCCTAGTCACAGTCCGTCGCTGCACATTACAATGCAAATGTCAGGGCCGAGCTACTTTGGTATTTATTGAAACGCACAGTGTCGCATTCCTCTTTTATCATTGAAGTGGGTTTTTTTTTCTGAATTATACTTTTTTTGTGGGTTTACGTGCTTACAACACATCAAAAAGGCCACCTCAACATTGACTGTGATGAGGATATTTTTAAACATGCCCACAAGCATTAAGTCTCACTATATTTGCATACTTAAGCCGTGCATTAAAAAACTGTGAGGAAAAAAAGTGAGATGCATTCATTGTAAACAAAGGAGAGAAATTCACTCTCTCACACTTGCCCAAACACACCTTTGTCCCTTTTGTCTCTTGAGTTCCTTTTATGTAATGGAATTTTTATGAGGCTGTCAATCACATGCTCAGTGACATTAATAGTTGTGCGTGTGTGTGAGTGTGTGTGTGCACGCATTTACTGACATTAGCATTGATATTACTGTAGTTCAGGTTTTATGTCTCATAACTTTTCCATAGCCATCAGTGTGTGGAAATGTTTTAGGACAAGCTTGCATTTGAAATGAACAAAAATATTTATTTATATATGTTCATACTCTGAACCATCATACTTTTTCTTTACTTTATATATTATGTTAAAGGAGTAGTTCACTTTTAAAAAAAAAAACTTTTGCTGATAATTTACTCACCCCCATGGCATCCAAGATACCCATGTCTTTCTTTCTTCAGTCGAAAAGTCTTTCTTCAGTCGAAGAGAAGTGAAGGTTTTTGATAAAAACATTCAAGGATTTTTCTCCATATAATGGACTTCAATGGGGTCCAAACGATTCAAGGTCCAAAATACAGTTTCAGTGCAAACTGCAAACTGTTCAAACGATTCCAGACGATGAATACGGGTCTTATCAAGCAAAACGATTGCTCATTTCAAAAATAAATAACAAAGTTTAAGTTTTATAACCTCAAATGGTTGCCTTGCTCTGTTCTGTGATGCGCGTTTGTGACTCTCCTGTTCAAACTCGTTTATCAAAATGAACGAATCTTTTTTCCTGTCATTTGGTTCATTCAATGAACCAAATGAACGAGTTGACTCGGGAAAAGATTTGTTCATTTTGATGAACAGAACAGAGCAAGGCGACATTTGAGCTTATAAAACGTAAACTTTGTTATTTATTTTTTTTAAATGAGCGATCGTTTCACTTGATAAGACCCTTATTCATCGTCGGGAATTGTTTAAAGCCCTTTGAAAAGTTTGCAGTTTGCACTGAAACTGTCTTTTGGACCTCTTTTGGACCTCATTGAAGTCTATTATATGAAGAAAAATGCTGGAATGTTTTCATCAAAAACCTTCATTTCTTTTCGACTGAAGAAAGAATGACATGGATTTCTTGGATGACATGGGGGTGAGTAAATTATCAGCAACTACTCCTTTAATGTTCAATGAGAGCCGTTTTACCTCACTCCTTTCATCATTTATTCACTACGCATCATTTTAAACATTTATGACCGTCTTTCTTGTGTCAAACACAAAAAGAGATAATTAGAAGAATGTCCAAGCTGCTCTCTAGTCCCTATCCAATTTGAGTGAATGGACCAAAAGCAGCTTGAACATTCTCCTAAATATCTCCTGCAGAATTTCACGCAAGAAACAATCGGACAGTAATATTAATAATCAAATTCGGCAAGATCATTTTCACTACAATTAATAACTGAGCTTGTATGAAATGAAAGATATCTGAAAATTTCTGACCGCTGAATTCTGTAATTGTCCAAATCAGAATAGAGTATTACAGAGAGTTGTGTTAAAAGGGTAGTTTACTGATATGTAAAATGCTCGGTTGTTTTAACCCAATTTTGGGTTAAATACGGACAAACCCAAATGTTGGGTTAAAAATATAATAAAAAAATGTAACCCAATGGCTGGGTTTGTCCATATTTGACCCAAAATTGAGTTGAAACAACCCAGCATTTTTCAAGTGTATATATATATTTGATTTACGAAAGACATCCGTCAGAACCGTAGAAGATGTGCATGTGCTCTTGAGTATTTCTGCCTGTCAATGCATGTCATGTGTATGTATATTTTCAATATTTATATGTATGCAAATGTTTGCGTGTGCCCGCATCGACATGGCTTCCTTCCCGGACATGTCAATGCGTCTCTCGTAATTGTTTCAATGTTGCTCTTCTTGTTGCCAAGAACTTTTGCACTTGTGTTGATCCCAGGCAAAAGTGATTCTCCACATGGGAGCATCGCTTTCTACATATCTCTGTACACACCATATGTGCGTTCACATGGCTCGGTGCCATGACTGTACGTACATATGAGTGTTTGCTTGTTTGTATAAATTATTTCTATATAATTTATCATGTTTGCACAGACTAGTCCATGTGTCTTTATCTGTACGTAGTTCTATTGCAACTCGATTTCTAAAGATAAAACTACAATTTTGCAATTGGTAAATTGAAAAAGATCACACTTCAATTTAATTGGACGCTTACTAGCAGACGGGACCAGAGATGAGCTCTGAGTCTATTTGGAAATGCAGCTGGGACCTTGTTTTTCCGAAAGCCTTGTTGTGACGGAAACCGTTTACAAAAACGAAATGAGAGAGGGCCAAAGCTTCAGAAGAGCCATATAGCCTAACTAAAACATGATAAAAGGAATCATGGGACAGCCTTGAAGTGAGCCTAGTGTGTGCCGGATTAATGAACAGCACCACACTTTCTCTCTCACAGACTAAATATTGAACAAACTTGCCATAGAGCTTTTTTTCAGCTCTCAACAATGGGCTGGAAAAAGCCTTAACGTGAATTGGCGCACGCAATTTGACGTACAAATGGCCTCAAAAGTTTCAGCTGTCATTTTCTGCTGTATAAGTATGTCTAGAAATTCAAGGCCGATTCCTAACACAAGTCTTTTCGTGTTTGGTTGACAGCTGAGGACACATGTGGTGATACTCTGAGGGGTTCAAGTGGCATCATTACGAGTCCCAATTTCCCGAGTGAATATTACAATAGTGCGGACTGTACGTGGACCATACTTGCTGATCCCGGAGACACCATCTCCATCATTTTTACAGACTTCCAGACGGAGGAAAAGTACGATTACTTGGAGGTGGAGGGGTCCGAGCCGCCAACAATATGGTGAGTCCAAATGCCTTGCCCACCTGTGTTTATGTCCATGCTCATCCATCTTGTGGTGTTTTGCTGGGTGCTAATCCCACGGACATCTTAAACGAGTCATCGTCCCATCCGTAATCTCGCCTCTGTAACTGTGTGTTATCCAATGAGTCTCAATTAGCTGTGATTTAGTCTTGCATGTTTTAACGGCGTTTAAGCGTTCCTCGTTTAATGTTGTTGCCGTGCCTGTACGTCATGTGTCGTTTCCAGCTACCTCGTGGATGTAATCGTTAGTCATAATGGAAGTGTCTAATGTTGTTTTCTAATGTTTATATCATCATAATATTTCACCTCGGCTGTTTATTGACTGGGCTCAAATTGGGCTATTGATTCACTCCCTCCAGGCTTGTCTACCCTGGTGATGATGGGGTAAAAGATGGGTAATTATTACCAAGTTTTTTTTTTTTTTTTCTCCTTCGTACACTGTGCCACATTTGTTTAAAGGGAAAAATCCATTGCGCGCTTGTTCTGCATGGAGCTCTTAGAGGAAATGAACATGAGTATCGATCGCCCGAAATGCCCTTCCTCCTCACTTTAATGTTATAAATTGAACTCTTGCCAAGTTTTTAATTACATCTCATTTGGAAAGTATGGTTTTGATATCAGTCAGTGTCACGTAGATCTGCATGGATCACGTCGCTGGTGCCAACCGCCCCATATCACACTGAATCTCCACATATTTAAGAGAACAGAATGACATGCATATTAAAGGGGTCATGACATGTTTTATTTTTATTATTATTATTATTATTATTATATTTTGTTCCTTGAGGTTCACTTACAATGTAATATATATATTAGGGCTGTGCAAAAATTAATTGCGATTTATCGCATCCAAAATAAAAGTCTGTGTTTACATAATATATTTGTGTGTGCTGTATATAATTATTTTGTATATATAAACACACACACACATGCATGTATATATTTAAGAAAATGTGTTATTCACATATAAAATATTTATATAATATAGATTTTGTATTTATATATATATACAGAATTTAAGCGCAAATAATTCTTAAATATATACATGCATGCATAGGTATGTGTATACAAAATAATTATATACAGCGCACACAAATATATTATGTAAACACAGACTTATATTTTGGATGCGATTAATCGCAATTAATTTTTGCACAGCCCTAATATATATATATATATATATATATATATACATTCTTAAATATATACATGTGTGTTTGTGTATTTATATATACAAAATAATTATACACAGTTCACACACATGTATTATGTAAACACAAAATTTTATTTTTTGCATGCATAGGTATATGTATACAAAATAATTATATACAGCGCACACAAATATATTATGTAAACACAGACTTATATTTTGGATGCGATTAATCACGATTAATCGTTTCACAGCCCTAATATATATATACAGTATATATATATATATATATATATATATATATATATATTTCTTTTTAGTTTTACTAGTAATTCAACTAATTTATTTCAGTTAGTTGCTAAGACAATATTTCTAATTTTCGTTTATGTTTTTAAGTTCGAAAATTTCATCTAATGTTTGTCATTTAAACGAGCTTCAATTCAATGACCACAAACTTTAGCCTGATATAGTTTTAGTCAACAGTAACAACATAGAGTCTCATTGTCAAGTCATTGAGAAATATAAAGGCACAACTGTGGAATATAAAGTTTCAAATACAAATAAAAATGAAATAAATTAAGTCACAAATATGAGAAATAAAAAGCAGCTGATAGATATGTAATCACAATTACCTCTTTGTATTTTTACTCTCCTGAGAAAACAGGCTTTCATAGTTTTTTCACTGGTGTACATTTTTCATGTTAAAACGTCTGAAATACACGGGTGTTTTCATATTGAAAAAAAATATGAACAATCATACTTCCCCGGAGTTATAATTGAAATAATTAAATGCTGACTGATGTGCGTGTAATGACATGTGACGCTTTATTATGACACTAAAAGTCATAGAAGCCAAACTCAAGCAGCTCTAATACATTAAGCATTTAACTCAGTCATTTATGAACTATTTTAAATGCATGCATTGCTGCTGGCCTGTGACTGTGTACCGTGTGTGTGAACGTGATTTCACCAAGTACCACATGTTCCTGGATCAATTTTCCAATCAGCCAATCAGATTTGAGGGACAAGTTTACAGTTTAAATGTCAAGTTTAGGCTTAGAACCAGAGTGAAGTGCTTAAACATAAGTGCTATTAGCCTTTAATAACTAGGGTTGGGTATCGTTTGAATTTGAACGATTCTGATTCCGATTCCGATTCCTTGTTTCGATTCCGGTTCCAAACGATTCTCGATTTCGATTCTTTTAAGAGGCAGGGTCAAAAAAGTTTAGCTAACCTTCCTAACCAACGGTCTTTCTGAAGGAAATACTCCTTCTGTCACAAAATACTTGTCACAAATTTTGCATTTTGCCGAGATTTCGTTAATTTTTAGAAAAGTGAAGCCACACTTTGGACCGCCGACGTAAGCTACTCATGTTCGACTCGCGCGGTTATGCCAACACTTCCGGTAGACGCTTCTTCGTTGGTGTTGTTCAGCGGTTTCTTCTTCCGCTTGGCGGACTGTGAATATCGAAACTAGGAATTGAAATTTTTACTTTTGAACGATTTCCGGGAAAAACGAAAAGTTAGTCCCGGTTCCAATCGATATTCGATTCTCGATACCCAACCCTATTAATAACCCTCTGATTGTAGGGAAAGGTTATAGGTTGGGTTATGGAATTGGGTTAGCACTACATTTTGGGACAGGAATGTTGATCCAGGACCATGTCTTACTTGGCAAAAATCACAGTGACCATACAGTGTGATCACAGGTTTACCTAAAACTTAAATATGACATAAAGAAATTCAGGGTGTCCCATATCTTCCTTTCAAAGAAAGTGAGAGAGTTGGCAACTCTCTCTGCTCTGTTAAGTGCTGGTAAGGTTCCCCACGATGCTCAGCAAGCGGTCGAGGGGGAGACGTAAGGGTTTCGGACACGCGCCGGCGACGTGTTAACACATTGTTTACAGTGATTTATTCAAGACAGTCTCTTAGCGGCAAGCAAAGAGGATTTTTAAAGCGAGCCAGAGAGCCTGATTTAAATATGCATGTTATGTAGATGAGCCGGTCCATCTCCAATGCTGATTGCAGCATAAACAAAGCACAGTGGACATCTGATTCATGTTGATGTGAATGCAACAAGCTTCTCTGCCCTGTGTTTGCGCTGCTCATTCATCCGAGACCAGATCAACAGATGAACCTGCCTCATCACTTAATCACATCTGGCATTAGTTGTGTGGCACGTTAATCTGTCTTGTGTACAAATGTTTTTTTGATTTTGTTTTTGAAAACTGGCCTGACCTGTTTTGTGTGTGCGGATTAGGCGACGCCAACCCTCTCGTCATCGCATATCTAGCCTGTCGTTTACCATGTGTCCGTACATCTCTCTCGCGTGATTCTGGGTCACCGCCTTTCAGTGATTGCCTCTTATTGGATTAGTCAAAGCTGGGTTATGTTGGAAACTCCCCAGCACAGGTAGATCGGTACGTTCCAGCGGTGCGTTATTGATGTCTTTAATAAAGCATGAGCTCATTCTCTCTGCTGTAGTCTCAGTCTCTTAATTACTGCAGTGTTTTCTCTGCATTTCAGGCAGGTGACCCGGATGTCACACAGTTCAAGCAAGCTAATTGCAGGTGTGCTTGGAATTGAAGTGATAATGTAGATTAGTATGATCATTTATTGCCTGTTTTGCAACTGTTGTCTTTTGCAAAGGCAATTTAGAAAAACATAGTGGTTGTTCAAGGCACATACTGTATCTTGTATGAGGTTACATGTAAAATGCTTGTTGCTATGCAAATGTTTGATTAGTAAAATATACAGAGTTATTGTCATTTTTTTCAGGAATTATTTTGCTATTTAGTGTGTGATAACTATAGAAAGGGAGATATTTGCAATTTTTAGCATTAAAGGAGTACCGGTAGTTCACTTTTCAAAAAACTTTTACTGATAATTTACTCACCCCCATGTCATCCAAGATGTCCATGTCATTATTTCTTCTGTCGAAAAGAAATTTAGGTTTTTGATGAAAACATTCCAGCATTTTTCTCCATATAATGGACTCCAATGGGGTCCGAACGGTTCAAAGTCCAAATGAGAGTTTCAGTGCAAACAGTTCAAAGGTGCTTTCAATGTTTCCAGACGATGATTATGGGTCTTATCAAGCGAAACGGTAGCTCAAAGTTTTAGTTTTATAGTCTCAAATGGTCGCATTGCTCTGTTCTGCGATGCACGTTCGTAATTCTCCTGTCTGAACTCGTTCAACTAAATGAACGATTCTTTTTTCGCGCCATATGGTTCATTCAAAGAACGAAATGAACGAATTGACTTTTTGATGAACGAGTTCGAACTGTTGAGTAACCAAATGTTTTGTTTATTCTTATTTAAATTAGATTTAGAATTTATTTTTTATTTTTTATTATTACAGGTGAAACAATTAGTATATCAAGCAAAAATGTATTACAGTAATTCAATTTAAAAGGTGAAACTAAGATATCATATAGACTTATTACATGCAAAGTGAGATATTTCAAGCCTGACAGCTTCTGAAAACTTTTCACAATATTCTAATTGTGAATTTGGGGTTTTCATAAGCTAAGCCATAAGCCTTGCTAAGTCATCAAAATTATAACAAATAAAGCCTTGACATATCTAATGCATGTAATGCATCTATATATCTATATCTATATCTATCTATCTATCTATCTATCTATCTATCTATCTATCTATCTATCTATCTATCTATCTATCTATCTATCTATCTATCTATCTATCTATCTATCTATCTATCTATCTATCTATCTATCTATCTATCTTATATATATATATATATATATATATATATATATATATATATATATATATGACCTTTTAAGTTTTCCTGAAATAAATGAAC